CGAACTTTCTGAAATCGCGTTCGCCAACTTGGGCGATACGCGCCATAAAGTGGGAGGCACAGTTTAGGTTGCTAGTTTAGATCTTCACTACGCTAGGGAGAAAGGGAAAAGCGAAGGGATATTATCTTTCTATATGTAAATACTTTGCTTTGGCTGTCATGTGACTTTGCAGATGAATCGTCGTGCTGATCACGTAACTTTGTCAGCAGACGTGGTGCGTACGCTCATATGCTGTTTGTTGTTCCGTATGATCATTCGCTATTTAATTATTTTATTAGACCAAAATATTATTATTTATTAGACTATTAAAATCTATTAGACGTCTAAATACTATTAAAATCATAATTATTTAATTACCGGAGACGGGCTTCAAGTTGCCATAAACCGCTATTTTCGCTATACTAAAAACATTTTAGAAAATAAAATTACTATTAAAATTATTAATGATTTAAAAATTAGATAACTAAGTATTATTACCAAATTACAAATTAATTCATAATTATTTAAATAATATTAATACTGCCGCTCCATAGTTGCCCGTTTAATTACCTTATAAATTATTTTTCTAAATAACTTATAAATTATTACCCTTATAATTAGTACAACAAAGTAGATAACATATGGTCTTTTTCTAACTTATCGTTCGCATGGGCACATTTTTAAAATTATTTACTTATTATTTAAGTATATGGGTGTTATTTATCTAGCCTTAACAAACAGGAATTAATTTCTAAAATAAATTAATTGTACTCCTAACACGAATTATTTAGAATGAGAAAAGCACTCGTGGGTTATTTGCTTAACTAGTGTGCAACATTTTTACTGCTATCTCGCTGACAAACACTCTGTATCATACAAGCAAATTTTTAATCCCTCCTAATCAAGTTTATATTGAAATAAAATGCTTATAAGACTTTGAAATGCTAACAAGTTAATGTAAAATATTAAAGAAACAATATTTTGCTACTTTTCTAAGTCAAGTATATTTCACTTATTTCGTTACATAGAAGATTTTGGGGAGTTCTGTGTATCAGTCAAAAATTTAAACTATTATACAAAACTTGAGCAAAATTCTTTCACAGAAAAACAAATAAAAGTTAATTAAATTTATATCATCAAATCTTTGAATAAGATTTATCTTCATAGATTTTTCTGCTGTGTTGTTGCTCATGCTAGTTTCTAACGGCAATGAATATAAATATTGAAATTTTTGCATCACCATATTTGCAACAAATACATAACCGAAATATATTGTTAGAAATCTTGTTTCCCTGCAGTTATGCAATTCAGAATTACATTCCTTTTGTAATGTGTGAAATGAAAGTTTTATTTATTTTTTTTTAATAGTAAATTCATGTATATTTGATCTTTTAAAATTTTTAACGTTACTTGCGTGATAAATATTCCATTTGCATGATCTTTACTGCATTTATATGAAGACCATATTTTAAAACATATTTAACTATTATTGTGGATAATTGTAGAAATTAATGGTCAGAATTAAAAAGATAAGTATAAACGGTAATAATGTTAGGGTTATATATATCATAATCTAAAATACTAAGGTGAAAAAGTATGAAGATTAATTTAACCACATCAATAACTAAATTAGTTCTATGTGCATTGTTTACCTTTTTTTTTAACGCAAACGCGTTACTGTATTTAGCCTCAGTCAATTTTCGCCTAGCACGGGTTTCTCCCCTATATCGGGCTCAAGAGGGAAATTTTGTAAAGCGTCTTTTCACGTCATTTCCCTCTTGGCGTCAAAAAAAATCCTTCCGAGGATTTGGCGATTTTCGCCGATTCAAGATGGCGGAAAAAATTGCGCCACGTGCCTGTTATCTGAGTCTTCCCGATTATAGTATAGTTAGTTATACGAGAATATCTGAAATAATATTTTCACAAGCATACACATAATGTTTCAATACTTCGGTTTTCAAAGCAGGAAAAGTTATAAAATAATACACATCCCTAAATAAGTGTCAAAAGTAGCTAGTTATCTGATACATATGTAGATCATATGAGCAGGTATGTGATATATTAATACATGTATAAAATCGGATCGAAAAGTAATTGCCCTGCGTTTTCGCAATAGATGCACATACTCGACTTTTAATGCTAATTTAGCAACATAACAGAACAAAATTAGGAATCAGATGCCAAACAAATATAAACACATCTTAATCCTGTTTTCCCCATGTATTTTCCTTTTCTCCCTAGCACCTATTCCCCAAATGATATTTACTTCCGTTGGCATAATAAAATGTCGCCCATATCGTTAAAGGATACAAGTTGGCGCAACCAAGGCTGTTCTCCGAACCTTATCGGGTCGGGGGGGGGAAACTTATTTTCTATACAATTAATGCACAATTTCAAGGGCTCGTTGGGGAGGAGTTAAATGTGCTTAAAGTATAGCTGATCATGTGAGTAAGGGGGTTTTAATTAAACGTCTGATGTTCATGAGTTTGTATTTCTAGGGAAATAGAAGTATATCAAGATCTGCTTATTGTTAAACTAAAACGTTACGTATTCTAATTTTTTCCCCTTGAAATTGTGGTTCAGTTGTATAAAAAGAAGTACCGGAGCTTCTTGTATTTAGGGCTCCGGTGCGCTCCGTCTAGAATTGTAATTTATCTTAAAAATTGAGAAGTGATAATTGAGAAATTGATCCGGACTTCGGTGGGCTCCGGTGCAATTTCAGCACCGGTAGGTACAGAGAGCATTCTAAGCTATGATTGGTCAATATTAGTTTTAGTTACCTTATTCAAGCAGAGTTACGTAATTTGGAATAATCTCGAATTTGGGAGAACATATAAACCCAGGGGAAGAGCACCAAATTTAGAATATTAATTTTGACGTCTCCAGCTATTTTTTTAAGCAGCTATCATATTTTGTTATATCTTACACACGCGCACACACACACACACACACACACACCACATACATATATATATATGAAGGTTGATCGATTTGTTGATATCGAGAGGCCGTAGGCGACGCAGTAAGACGCTAGTGTCATATGACATGGAATACATATGCTAGTGCGTGTACGCAGTCCTAGAACTCTAGAGGGAATGAAGAACCATTAGCCTCCCCGTTGTTGGTTGTTGTCTTAAGCTCTAAAAGGAAGCCGATTGCTCTAAAAAGAGACCTTAAGGCACCGATTGCCGACCTTGTCGCCACAAGCATATATCACGCCATCATAGCAGATGTGAGACTACGTAATAAGAGACGTGTTAATTGGGCTTAATAATGTATTAATGTCATGCGGTTGATGACCAGTGGCAGCATATTCCGAGTCAGATGGTGGTTAGTAGAAAAGTTCCATGCCGTCCTTGAACTGAGGACACTTTGACGTCTCATCACACATAATAATATGGCATATCATTATATGCCCACTGCCTCCGAATATAATATAATTCATAAAAGGAAATACTATGGAAAATAAATTTATTTCACAAATCTTTAAACGAATTGTTAATTTCGCAACATTTTCCGGGAAGCGTATCCATGTCGGACGTACAACTGAAATCCGGGCTGCCTTGGCAAATCCGAAACGAATCAAGATTCCCAGTGTCGAATGGCACTGAATGAGCATCGAATACAGTTGAAAAACTCAGAATAAATGTTTTTAACTTACGAAATTAAAAATTTTTTCTTTTAATTCGTTGCAATATGTCGTAAATTAATTGAAAATGTTCCTTTTAGAGCTCAGTTACTTTCGGATCCTCGCATAATTTTAAGATGTGAGTCATACTGCCGGTGAGCATATTTCACAAGTGCACATCTGTGTAGCCACCGAGGGAGTAGCTTCTAGGATAGACCAATAAGCATACAGCAATACTTCTGTCATGTCACATGACCTTTCGCACGCTTTAAGATTTAAGCAAGATGGTTGAAAATATTTTGCCACGCAATTTTCTGTACATCGTCTATTTCTTCTGAAAATTTTCATTGCGAAGTTAGATCAAATATAAGCAATTATGAAGATTTCACTACCTGGTTGAAAGAATTTGAAATAAATACAAACACGTGTCGGATACTCCGTAAAAATATTCATGCAAAATATTAATAAGTGATAAATAAGACGAAAGAAATATGTGATGCATATTTGAGCCCAAATGCAATCTTTACATAAAACTATGCATATGAGAAAAATATTTACACCAGTTATATATGTAAATAGAAGTCAGCACTTTTTGTTTCAGTCTATAAAAAAAAGATGTTATAGTAATAGCTAATGCAGAATTTTATTCAAAGTGAACTTCACTAATTTGCATTTAGTGTGTTAAATTTCACATTTAATAACTGCTCACTCTTAAATATACTGTCTACGCAAGAAATATTCATCAAACAGAATGAATTTATCTATTCACAACGAATATATTCACTTTATTCACATATAACTTTTAATGTTAACAAGGGATATAATCAGATCATACACAATATGTATTCTGAATCTTACACTTTCAAAATCAAATGATGCACTGAAATAAGAAAACACTAGATTCATTGTAACACTTCCAGTCCTTCTCAGCTCAATAAATAATAATAATAATAAACTATGCACATGAATTCTCTTAATGCACATTTGTTAGTAAATATTCGAGGCTAATTGTAGTCTGAGTCATTATCTCGGTGTAAAGAGCGATAATATGCCGTGAACATCAATCCAAATATCACAGCGTGATAAAAATCGCGAAAGTGAAATGTCAGCGATTAATTAAACTCATAAAACGAAAGCACTACGAAATTTTCTACTTTTACGTCATACATTTATCACTGCGAAATAAATGCAAATTAAAACGTAAACAACATACGCTCACATTCACAAGAAGATTTAGCATCACTAGAGCAATAAAAGTTCATTGGTCCATTTTCGAAACCCCTCCCTCAGTGGCTACGCGGATGTGCACTTGTGAAATATGCTGCCGGTGATGCATCAGAGATGTGATTTGAAGTGAGGAGTCGAATTGCCGCACTGTTGAGTAAAAGTAAGCACGAAGTCCAGCACGTTTTAATGTTCCAAAACGTGGACAGTTAATATAGTGGGAATGCCTATTATTTATATATTCATTAAACAAACTTGACATGCCTATTCAAATATTAGCAATTAAATATTTTTTTTGAATAATTTGAAAGTTTCCGAATATGGACTAATTGTATTGATTTCGGTAAATCAAAACTTTTTCTCTTCTCTCCGAATGCTCACATATTTTGTCTGCATGTTTGCATTTTTTTAGGAGGATTTTTAATTGTAAAATAAAATTTTGTGTGAATGGAAATTGCAAGAGTATGTAGTGATTGCGTCAGGTTTTAAATCATGTCTTTGAGTACTATTTTATTCGCAAGAAACTAAAATCTGTCGAAGCATAATTTAAATTACTAAACTGGAAGTATTTTTAAATGACAGGCATATCAGTTATAAGATATTTTTGAAGTCGGTGTTAGGATAACTTATCTTTGGTTGATTGTTCCATGTTGAGTAATTATTAGAATAAATGTTGATAGCTGCGTATTTTTTTTTTGGCAGGGGGTAGCATAATGAATGTTTTGAAATAGTATTTTGTTCGATATAGTTCTATATTTGAAGGAGCCATTTTTAATATATAGGAGGCTGAAATATTTTTTAGTATACAACTAAAAAATATTTCAGCCTCCTATATAAAATATCAAAGAAATAGAAATAGAAATAGAATATCAAAGAAAAAGTGATCAGATTAGTATATCAAATTAGTATGAGCTTCAGTATTAAAGCACTGTTAACTTATTGCGGAATTATTTTTCAGGATAAAAGAGTTAAAAATGGATGTTGAAGCTATTCAAGGATTTTTAGATCAAGGAAATCCTGAGGCTAGATCAAGGGTAATGCTTATATATATTAAAAACCATTATTACTTGTTTAAGTGTTAGTTGATTCATGTATTTGAAAATGTGTACTGACTTGAAAATCCAGTCTTAATATTTAAATCAGATTTTCATTGTCAATATATGTACAGTAGCTGATAAAAGGTATTTGGACACTGATGGGTTTCAGTGAAATGTTGCTTTATTCATTAATAAAAATTAATATTTTAGAATGAAAATTTGTAACTAATATCTACAAATTTCTCTTAGCAAAACTACATTAATTATTTTATAAACATATTAACTTTTTTTTCTTTTTTTGAAAAATCAATAATAAAAAATTACCCCACAAAAGTCTATGTACATTTTAAAAAAATCTGCATATATTAGTAAATATTGTAATATTTCTATCACTTAGTATTTTGCACTATATACTGCAGTAGTTATGACAACTTTCAAACATCTGGGCATAGGACTTCAACAGTTTTTTTATAATATCTGCATCAATGTTCCTTCATTCTTCCATCGTTACTGTTTTTAGTTCGGTTTTTGTTATAATTTGTCTTTCTAGTGTAATCTTTAATTCTCTCTGGATGTGTTCTGTTGGGTTGAATCTGATGACTGAAGTGGTGTTTTCAGAACTTGTGAACAATTATAGACACCCAAAAGGCAAACCTTGAGAGCCGTAATCTTAGAATCATTATCCTGATAAATAAAGTTGCTTCCAGTATTCAAATTTTGGGCAGAAAATATTTAAATAAAGAGCATAGTTTATTGTGCCATCATTAAATACTAAATTATTTAATCCTGATTTTAAAATGCACCCTTACACAAGAACACCTCCCCCAGCATGTTTTACTGTAGCAACCAAGGTCTTGGGATTAAGCTCTTCATTTTTTCCCCTCCATTTAATTTTACCCCCCATTGGAATCAAAAATGCTAAATTTGCTTTTATCTGCAAATAAGACATTCCAAATATGTTTCGGGCTTATAAACCATTGATTTTTAGAAGAAAAGCCTAAGCTTTCTATTTTTTTCCACTTTCAAAAAATTTTCTTCGAGCAGAGCGGGCATGTAATCCAGCTGATCTGAGTACTCATTGACCAGTTTTAGTGAAATTGAAGTAGACAGTTTTTCAGTTAATTCTGTAGAAATCTTTAAAACATTCAAACATAGATTTTTCACATATTTTGTAACTAATAAATCTCTGATGACGTTCAGTCATGTCAAGTCCTTTTTCTTTATTTTTAATGTAGTTTTCTCCTTTATTAAAGCATTTTATCACATACTCTACTGTAGAATGGGACATATTTACTAATTTAGCAATATCGTGAACAAAATTTCTATCCTTATGAAAAATGATCAATTTTCGAATGCTGTTTATTTGTTTTGTTACACCTACAAGCTGTTTTTAAATATTAATTAAAATATAACAAAGTAAGCAAAAATAAAGTAAAAAAATTTGGGTTTTCCTCCGCAAAGGATCCGTTGACACCGATGCGTATTTATTCGCCAAGCTCACCAACGGCTAATCGGCCATTATTTTAGCGATGTATAGTCAAAGAATATGTATTGTTAGACATTCTTTGGTATAGTTAAGTTGCAAAGTATTTATCATATGGAAGCTATGATTTTAGGGTGTACAAGTCAAGTTATAAGATATTTAGCATATAGAAGTAAAATAAATAGGTTGATAATGACATTTAGCGGTGTATAGTTAACCCGAGAGGACGCACGATGTATTATTTAACACGAGAACGCGCATCGCAATTAAATGACATACAAATGAAACATATTATTACAATTCAGTAAAATAATGCATTCTGTATTAATTGCAGCATTTATTATATAAAATAACTTAAAAATATTATTAATTTTAAAATTAATAAATAAAAGTACTTACATTTCCTTCAGATGACTAGGAATCATTGATTTCTAAGAGAAATTTGTGTTTTTTTATTTTTGAATGCAATTATAATCCAAATTATGCAGAATTATTACATGGATAGTGAGTTATTAATTTTCAAATCAATTGGGCTCAAGAAGAATTAGATATTTTGTAGTTTATACATGAAGCTTCTATTTCACAGTATTCTTGACATATTTTTTTTTACACTTCACACATACAGTTTTTCTGTCGTTTTTTTTCTTGAGCACATGTAACATCTCTGGTAACATAATTTTCTTTTCTTTCTTTGCGAATCTTCAAGAGAATCTTACGTTGTATTCCTACTGTTTCTGTTAAGATTTCAAGTGAGGATCTAAAAGTACAAAGGCCAAATCAGAAGTGCCTCCTATTCCTGAACTTTTCTGGCGGAGTTTTAGTGGATAAAAGCAAGATCCTTGATTTTATGCCGGCAATATTTAATAGCAAAAATAATATGCCCATCAGTTTGATATTCTGGCCACCCATTTCGTCGACTATATCAACTGCTCCTTTTGTCATGTTATAAAACGTAATTACTTCAGATTTCTTCAAATCTCCCGTGCTATCATCAATATGGTCATCATTGTGCATAGTTGACAAAAGGTTAACACATTTGTTCTTTTCAGCCATATAAGAAAGTAGCATTATATCCATTTGAAACCCCAAGAGAATTGAATGCTGTTCTTTATTTTTATTTGACACAAATTCAGATGGGATAATCTTATCCTTGCATATTTTTCCCATGTTCAAAGTATAGAAGGTTCTAAAATTAACCACAGTAAATATCTTTATACCATATCTTGCAGGTTTCTTAGAAGCTTAGGCATATACTGCCAAAAGGAGCATCGTTCTCGAAAAGGTCATATAGCTTTTCATCCAAAGTCATGTATTCCCCTACATAATATAATTTCTGATAATTCTCGACAAAATTTTCAAACAAAACTCTTATTGGAGCTAATTTATCACTCTTTCTTCTGTCATCCCGTGTTCCGACATTATCGAATCGTAAGGCATGAAGAATGAAAAGAAAATATATAGTTCATTTGTTTTATGAAAAATATCCAATCTTGTTCCATCAGTCGCCCATAATTCTCTAGCATTCACACGGGAGGATTTGTGCAATCCTCCTATGTACAAGTCCTAAAAAAGCAAGAAACTCTTCTTTCTCCATAGGTTTTGCGTCTCTTTTAAAATTTCCTGAAATATTTTTTACATAAATCTTAGACATCTCACAGTCATTTAAATCATTGTGTCATCAATATGAGCGTCCATGCATCGATGGGTGAAGCCACATCTTTAGATATATGTGTATTGCCACGCAATTTTTTTTTGATATTATGGGAATCTTTGAATTCGAAAGTGTTTCTTTTTCCATTTTGTTGTTTTATCTTTTCCTACAAAATAGTTAGTTTGATCACAAGGAATGCCTTCTGTAGAATCGCATTCTTTTTCTGATTCAGACTGATGATCACTAAATATTTTGCAGTAATTAACAAAATAACAGATGATCTTCTTAATAAAACATAAATTTTATTTTTAGTTTAGGGAGATAGGAAATTTGAATAAAGTTCTTTGGTGGCAAAATTTTCGTACCACTACTAGCTGGTAAAACTTCAGAATTCTCATTTTAAACAATTTCTTACGTTCCTGAGCAATGGTTACATCATACAAATATGGCATTGCCACTTCAATAATAAATATATATTTGTTAAATAACAAAATATTACAATATCTTCATTATCTAAATCTTGTAAGAAAGTCCACCTCTGAAAAGATGTTTGGAAACTTATAAGAAATGATGTTCTGCAAATTTACCTTAAAATGGACCTAATTCAATGCTGTATACATTAGTGCAATTTAGAATATCCAAAGTGAGAATGGAAAAGCAATATTCTCATTTCCATTTATAAAATAACCAATGCTGTTGACAAATGAATATATATCCTAGGATAATTCCAGTTCAAGGATATCATAGAAAAAACCAGCAGTTCCAGTATTTTAGACTTTGCATCAGGCCTGATGAAATTAAACATGACAACATCATTTTCTTCTGAATGATGCAGCCATACATATGAAAAAGGCAGATGAAACACTTCTCAAAATGTTGTATCTGAAATGAGTCGAAAATGCTTTGTGTGAAAAGTTCATGAATTGTTGCTAGACGTTGACAAACCTATTTTTATTCTAAGAAAAATATTTTTAAATCTCTGTTATAGTGAGAGTCTTTGGAGAGACTGCAGCTGATATATTAGTTTTGACAAAGTGGGTAACATGGTCAAGTGAGATGGTTATTATGCCAAGCAGTAATAGCTTTAGGGGGCATGACAGTGTGATGGCCCAAGATACTGAATACTGAAGATTCAAACTTAGGATCAAAACGACCAGTATTCAGCAATTGTATTGCTCAACTGCTCTGCTTGTGAACTTGAACAAAAGTATGAATATCTGTTAGTGAAACCCATGACGTAAGAAAATCGGGAAGAATTTATAAAGTTTTCAAGATTAAAAATCATGGAATTCATAACAAATCGATTTGGTCGATTTTGTTATGAATTCCGTGATTCTGACATGTTTTTTGAAATACATTCCTGCTACACGGATAGAGGCGGAATGATCATTGTCCTGCTTACAACAGTTACAGAACATGTTATGTCGATGTAGAATCTGAAGGAAAGTTTAGGTTATTCGAATATGGCAAAGAGAATACCGGCTATGGACTTGAAGAAAGATGCCGTTTTGAATAACTTTCTAAGGGAATCTGGCTTGTATTTGCATTACATATGAGTAAAACTAGAAAAATCAACCATGCAACCAGCCCTTTAACCATGATATGAAACCAGATCAAACTACCAGTATTAAAAATCAGTTGTAGGAAAAATCTGAAGAAAATGCTTGCAATATCATATAATCAGAAATTAACTATGTGTTGCATAGCAGGATTACTTTTGCAAGTTTCGAGGTAGAGAATACTACTTTTTTTTTTTTTTTTTTGTTTCTTTTTCTTTATACAGTCAAAAGTCTTTAATCCGGACTCGTCAGGACTTCGGTGATTCCGGATTATAGATCATCAGTTTAAATCTGGTAAGATGGC